TGGAGAAGGAGAAGAAGAAGAAGAAGAAGAAGAAGAAGAAGAAGAAGAAGAAGAAGAAGAAGAAGAAGAAGAAGAAGAAGAAGAAGAAGAAGAAGAAGAATAGACAGCATTTGTATAGGGCAAATTACCGCTCAACAGCAAGCTCTAGGCGTTTCACAATCTACATTACAGTCGAACCTGCTCCAACGTCCACCCGTCTAAGACAAACACTTGTGCAAACGGACATTTCCCATTTCCCCTCCAGCATTCTTTTTACATGATAATGACACTGTGAAAGGCATGCACCTGTCTAAGACAGTCACTTTTCTTTTCAACAATTTTGACAGGACATATACTGTATTGTATTAAGTTTTAGTTTCATTAAGTGTCCAAGAGAAAGATAGAGATACTCCATAAAAGTCTCCCCACACAAGAATCGGACTCATGTCTTCTGCTTGCGACTGTCAGGCGCCAAACTGCTACACCACACATGCCAGATATATGAAAGGCTCTTTCTAGTAAGCGTATGGGATAAATGTGGGGCAGCGTGGTGGAATCAGGCTCTCGTCAATTTTTTGGCATGTAGAGTTACTGGTATCATCTTAAAGCCTGTTCACTTTTCTTTATTTGGATGGGAAAAAAAATCCATTTATCTTGAATACAAGTCGAGATATTTGCGAAAGAAGGAGGAGGGGGTCACCTATTTTCAGAGGTAAAATTTGTCAGAAAATGGAGGCCAAAGATTTGTAATTTCCTTAGCTTAAGAGTCCGTGGAAACTGATAATTAACATTTTTTGTGCCTTTAATCAACGTTTTTCAGAAAAATCCACACAGAAATGAGTTCTTTAATGGGCTTGAAAGGTGCTTAGCCTAAAAACAAATATTTGATAAAAATTCACAAACCTGCGGAAAAATGCAAGTTTCTTCACTTTGATTATTTTGACGAGAGCCTGATTCCACCACGCTGCCTCACAAATGTTCTTATCAACTTTATTGTATTAGGTCCGAGGTGGGACATCAGAATTTTACGTCAATTTCTGATAGGATCAAACCAAATGGGTTGAGAGCCTTGAAAACTCCACAAAATGATCCGAGTTCAAGAATACCCAGTCTGGGATCTGAACCACGGCCATCCGCTCCATTGTCCAACATCATAGCATAACAATATGAGATAATGGTAAACCCATCCTTCTCCTTTTCTCCTAACAACAGAGAGGCAAACACAATTACCTGGGGCATCATGATTTGTGTATGCACCACTGGCACCGGAATAAGCATAGCTGACTCTAGGCCGGCCCGCGTACTCGGTGTTTGGCCATACTCTGTCGTAGTTCAACACGGCGTACGACTCTTCACCGTCCGTCGCCAGGATGAGTTGGAAGCTGGCTCTCTGCACCGCCCGAAGAGAGATAATAGTAGAAATTACAATTATTGGAGATTTTTAAATATCTAAGTTTCTCGAGGAGAGAAATGAGATGACAAAATATTATGTTAACAGGAACATTTTAATTCCTACATCATCTGAGGATGTAATGCCACCGTTTATGAAACGAAGGGCATTATTTTGGAGCTTGTCAAGGGCATTGCAAGTGGTTGTACTGCACGTAGTGAGAAGGCTATTGCTGTATTCCAAGGAAGATCGGACGTAACCACGGTATAGAGCTCTCAGAGTTTGTTTGTCAGATCCTCATGAACTGCTCGCGAGTTTCTTTAAAAGTTGATTTTTCTCTTTGTCTTGTTCTTTATGCTCACCATTTGGCTTTTCATGATTAGACTTGGGAAAAATTTGACGCCTAGGTATGTTGGTTGTTCTTCTTTGGATAAAATTAGTAAGCAGTCAAAGTATAGTGTTTGTTGCTACTTTTAAATTCTTTGTATACGGAAGGCTATTTCTCCTTAGTACGCAGCCATCCCCAACATCACACACTTCCCTATAAGTCAGCTCCTAGTTAACCTTTTTGCAGAAAATAAACACCAAACTGAGGAAAAATAAATGATCTGAGCAGTAAACATTAGACAATTTATTGATTATAGATAAGATAAGTTTGCTTAGGTTTGATGGATTTTTGTTATGACTGCAAACAATCGAATGATGCTGTGAGCCAGCTGAACAGCTGAACCAAAACTATTCAAGCAGAGAAAAGAGATGACAGAATACTTATGTTCTAAAAGAATTTTATTTTTTTAAATCCAAGAAATTTCATGTCATGCTGGAGCCCCTGTCAGTTCAACTGTCTGGTATCAAACTTGGAGGTAAATTTAAAGCCCAGGGTTTGAAACAGTTTCGAATGACCTGTCTGAGCAACTGTCTAGTCTCCCCTACCATTTTGCTTAGTCATTCCAAAGACAATTTTAAGGTCTCAACTCTTCAGTAACCATAAAAAGCTACACTAGAAAAGGCAAACTTTTTAGACCGAAATCTCTATTAGAAGAAATTACTGACCCGAGATGAAAGGGTAGCTTTTATAAAGTTTTCTCAAGCTGTCCACCTGGTGGTAGATACAAGTAAGGAAACATTAACATTGACCATAAAGCGTCAATACCATCTACACTTTTACACGTAATTTACTTTTTAAGGGATCTTCTCTTTTTATTATCATACTTGTTTCCGTGTTTAAAAAATATAATAAAACAAACCAAAATAAAACACACAAAAAAAGCCTAACCCAAAACAAAACAAAACAAAAAAGCCACACAAAGACAAAAAAAAGAAAAGAAAAAAAAGAAAAGGAAAAAAAGAGCACACTGACTTACATCGTTGGGATACTGGGCAAAGAGATTAGGCTGAGCGTGTACCCATGTGACCGCTGTCGCCCAAACTGGGTTGAAGCTGTGTACGGTTCTTTCCTTCACCTTTGTCAGCAGAAGTGGACTTGCAGTGACATCGTCGTAAAGGCTGGCCTGCACATATAAGGAGTGAATCACAAAGAAATAACGTAAAATGACTTTGTTCCTCTCTACGTTAACTGCTGAGCAAAGTAAAAGATAAGACATTTCGAGCTGAAATCAAGAAGGGCGCATTTCCGAAAATCAAACACAACTTCTCTTCTTTCTTCAAGTGTTTCAAATTGATGCTCACTGATGCAATAATGGTATGCATGAAAAAAATAGTAACTATATTACTACTATTAATACTACAACAATTGCTCCTTCTATTTATGATGATTAAGTACAATGGTGGCGTTGGTAGGCTATTGCTTAGGCTACCAGCCTCAAAATCATGAGATTGCTGGTTCAGGGTTTAAAGCTACAGCTTTGTTTGACGCTGTGTCTTTGGGAAGGCACTTTACATTAATTTCACATTTAATTTTGGCTTTGTCCTTTTGGAGATCCCGCCTCTTAAATAAACTAATAGAAGTGCTGATAGGGGCGTTACCCCATACCATTTTCAAATAAGAGTATAATAACAATAAAACATTGCATTTACATAGTACCTCTATCCTTTCTCAAAACTGGACTCTAAGCATTTTGCAATGATCATAGTGTGAATGAGTTTTAGCCCTTAACTATTTTCCAGAGCATCACATTTTTTTGTTTGTCAACAAATTATATGCAGCAATAAAAATTGTTGTGTTTCTGTGAGATATTATTACATTACGAACCATCAAAAAACTTTAGTAGCCATGGATATCTTCGCTGTGGAAGTCATACCCATTTTCGTCCACATTTTCGTCAACTATGTTATTATCAACACATCTTTAACCTTGACAGTTACACTATCATCATGATCCTCTTTTCCACTTTTATTGCATGTTCATTATCACATCTACTTCTTTCTTCCTTATTCTTTTTACCACCATTACCATCCTTTGTATCAGCATAATCTCCCCAACCCCAAACCCCCACCTTTTTACATTATACATTTGAATAAAAAGTATCTTAAAAGTTATAATAGCATCTGTGCTTGAACTTCAAAGCATAGATCGAGTTGGAAACCAACTTGGTTGTTATACCTGCTTTAGTGTTTCAGCTGATGGTGGAGAAATCAGAAACCCTACGTCTGTTTGTGGTGTACCAGTGAGGCACTTACAATAGAACTACCACGAAAAAGACGTGAGTTTGATTCTGCTGGGTCGTGATATTCCCTTAAGCCTGGTTGGAGCCCGACAGCCTGCCTCCTAAACAATCTGAACTGTGCCGATGGGGTCTAGCCAACTCTATGGGTGTAGCACATCTACAAATTATACACATATCTGCCTCCTAAACAATCTGAACTGTGCCGATGGGGTCTAGCCAACTCTATGGGTGTAGCACATCTACAAATTATACACATATCTGACTCCTAAACAATCTGAACTGTGCCCATGGGGTGTAGCACATCTACAAATTATACACATATCTTTCACGGTGAGGTGGAATCAGGTGCTCATGAATCTTTGGGGATGTGGCGCTATTGGTATTTTCTAAAAGCTAATTCTTTTGCCTTGCTTTCAATGGAAAAATACCCAGTTATCTTGAATTGAAGTCAAGATATTTGTGACTGAAGAATTTTGGGTAGCCTGGTTTGAGAGGTAAAATTAATGAAGAAATGGCAGCCCGGTTTCGGTAACTTCATTAGCTTGAGAGTCCTTGAAAACTGGCAAATTACATAATAATTTTGTACCAAGTGCTTTTCAGTCAAATTCACATGGTAATGGGCTTTTTATGTAGACATAAAGGTATCTTAGTTAAGGAGTGAGGTAACAGACCCCTTCTCCTACCTGTTCAATCCAAACACCAGCATCTTTGTTCCTGGTGCCAAACACAATGTCTGCCCAGTAGACGGAGAACAGTGGCGGAGAGTTGGGCCAGGACGCAGGTCCAGGGGTCGGGTCTGTGAACTCGTAGGGACCGAAAGAGACGAAGCCATTGGGGTACACCTGTAAACGTAATTGAATTAAAAGGTAACAATCATTCAATGCATATTCATTATTATTTTTACCATTCATTTTTTTCGTCATTCATTTTATCACCATTACCATCAAACATCTGAACAATACCCCCATCCCCATTATGATAAATTCATGTATTATGCTAAATGTCGACAAATGGGAAATGCATTTTAAGGGAATTCAAATACATAAAAGACATGCAACTAATTCACCACATCCTATTAGAGATTGTTAAAGCTCACATATTGGGTGTGTGTGTGTGTGTGTGTGGAGGGGGAGGGGGGAGGCAAAATTTTCCTGGCATTTCCTATTAATTCTAGAAGTGTTCTAGGAAGATCACATACCTATTGATACCCCCCCCCCAAAAATAAAAAAAATAAAATAACATAAAATAAAAAATAAATAGAATAAAATAATTAACATTTTTGCTGTTTTTTTCTTGTGTTTTTGCCAAAACAGACACTGCTTGTTGAATTCAAGTAATTTGGATTTTCTTTTCTTTTCGTTTTTCTTTTTTTCTTTTAAAGCGGGGGGGGGGAGGGGGGGGGGGGGGGGGCGGAAAGACGAAACATTTTTTCATCTTACATTGTTATTATATCTTCACTAATTTAAAAATATTTGATTTTTATTTTTGACACATTTTTCAAAACTCCTCTGAAGATTACAGGTGTATCTTGATGGCACTTGGCATACTTGTTGCCCTTAGGGGTGGTTACATTACATAGTCAGCGTTTTTTTTATATCTATCTTGGTTTTCATTTTATGATTTACAAAATTTGGAAAATTTACAGTTTTCTGCATTTTTGACAAGATTTGCACGCTTCTTCCTGTAACTCCGAAACGAAATAAGATATCGAAAGATACTGACTATGATTAACTTATATGCCTCTTGGGTACATGTGTGCCAAAGAACAATAAAATCCATCGGTAAATTTCAGAGGAGTATTGATTTTAAAACATGATGTGAAAATCCAATATGGCCGCCATAAAAATGGCGGCCATCTTGGATCTGGAAATATTTTTTTTCATCGTAATACCTGTATCATGACGAAGTTGTATGCCAAATTTAAGGTTTCTAGGTCCAGAAATAAAGGAGTTAGCCCGCTTGTGGGACCCCCCCCCCCCCCCCCCTTAAAATTATGGACGATCTGATCAGATTGTGTCTATATGGTAGTTTTTGCCACCTCATGTACACTCGAGCCCTCCATTAGGAACGAACTTGTCCTTCTACGTACATCCCTCTCAGGGAGGTAGATAGTGAGACCCCGTTACTTCAAGCACAAAAGACACTTTGAACTAATTCTATAAATGTGAGGCAGCGTGGTGGAATCAGGCTCTCGTCAAAATAATGAATTCGAAGAAAACAGCAGTTTTCTCCCGGCTTACTAATTTTTATCAAATTTTTGTTTTTTGGCTCAACACCTTTTATGTCAATTTACAAATACATTCCTTAGGGGATTTCACCGAAAACGTTGATTAAAGGCACAAAAATACAAATTTACAGTTTCTATGGACTCTCTAGCTTTGGAATTTACCAAGCTTTGTCGGCCTTTTTCTCGCTAATTTTACCTCTTAAATCAGGTGACCCCCAACTCCTTCAATCCAAAATATCTCCACTTCTATTGAAGATGGGCGGGTAATTTTTTCATTGAAAGCAAGACAACTGAACAAGCTTTAAGATGTTACTCTACATGCCCCAAAATTGACGAGAGCCTGATTCCACCACGCTGCCTCACAAATGGCAGGGGGCTCTCAAATCAACTGCTTAGTGTAAGGCTTTGCCATACTACATTAATTTTGAAAAGTGACAAATTGCTACTTTAGAATTACAAGTTTTATCTGTTCAGTAGACCCTACCTAGTTTTGAGAAATTTGACGTAAAATGTTTTGATTTTCACAACAGGTCAAGCTTTTTCGAATGCAATTCTTTGAATATCTTGATAACGACTCCGAATAATCTTACGATTTAGATAGAACAGATAGAACATTTGGGCTCTGACCACATGGTCTTATACTAATAATATAGTGACTCAAAACAGCCAATAATGTCAAATTGAACGTTGTAATTCTGAGGTAGCGATATGACGGAGTTTTACACTGAGCTGGTAAAACAGATTTATGAAAAAGACACTCACCATGAGACTTGAGAAGACTTTGCCGAAGTAGGGAAATGAGACGGGGATGTCCACCTTACGAGACTGACCAGCCGGCACCTTCTCAAACAGACTTGTGTTTCCGTATGAAGGCCACAGGACAATTTCTGGGGAAAGTTTTATATGTACAATTGAATGTTTTTATCCGTCTGCTGCTATGGTCTTGTCTCCCACTTAACATGGGTTGACCCAGACTGGAGAGGTGAGAGCAGCTTGTCTCCTTCCATTTTTTAATGTAGGTGTTTTTACAGCACTTATCGACACCATCTAGATAATGTAGGTGTTTTTACAGCACTTATCGACACCATCTAGATAATGTAGGTGTTTTTACTGCACCTATCGACACCATCTAGATAATGTAGGTGTTTTTACTGCACCTATCGACACCATCTAGATAATGGAGGAGAAAAGTAAATGAAAAGCTTTGAAGAGAAGTGAAGATACGGTAAGGTAAGATAAGATAAGATGAGACAGATAAGGTATAAGATATAAGATAAGATAATGTATTGTATACTTTATTGATCTTTACTAATCCTCCGATGAAAGACATTAACAGTATGCTTTCTTAAGCTTCTGCAACACAAAATATACGTACATAATAGCATCATATCAACGCACCACAATACCCTTCTCTCTCTCTCTCTCTCTCT